GTGAGATATACTTCTTGTTCCTTACCCTGCATAAGAGTTACAGTGCTTTTATCCTATTACATTTTGAACTAAAATTTTCAAACTCCAGATCCTTTAAGAAGGATTTAGAGAGCAAGTACTGTTTTCCCTAGTGTTTTCTCTAAATTGCTTGTTTCTGTGCATTCAAGCATTTCTCAGTATATATTTTTTTAAATATTTGGAGAACAAATAGGAGAATGGTTTGTAAATCATCTCAAAGTGATTTATTTTTCACACTGATGTGAACACCTGAAAATGTATCCAACAATGCCCTATTCCATTAAAGTAAAATGTAGTAATATAATTAACAAATCCCTCTTAGACCTACATGATCTAGAAGGCAACACAAAAACTTTGTTTTCTCTTGATATTTAATGAATGATAATCTGCATTCCTAAATAAGCAAATTTATCCCTTAACAGCTCTTCCATTCAGATACTTACCAGGCTTTGGTTCATGGCCACTATCTTTTAAAAGATAACTGGAGGACATTCCATTAGCTCTTGATCAACAACATTCCTTAAGCAGCCCTAAAGCTTGAGAGTTAAAGCATGTGTCCATTAGGATTAGGAGATGATATTATATATACAAGGGGCTTGAGAGGAGACAAAAACTTGATTACTACAAAAAGACTTCAAAATGAGCAAAGACTCAAATATTAGTACTGTTTAGTCCAGGAAGAAAATACGCAATAAAAGTTTGCAGAATAATAAAAGGTAAAAAGATGTGCATATTACTGTATAACAAAACGGTAAGAGCAGAAAGGTTTTACTACCTTTAAAGACAATTTATAAATCTGTTTCCATCTCAGGATGTGCTAAAATTGCGGAACTCACTGCCATGAGGCATGATTGAGGTCAAGAGCTTTGCATAATTAATTAAAATGTTGCACATTTCTCTGATTAATGTGTGCTCCATTGCAATAGACACAATAATACAGAGATATGATCTGTCACATAAATTGGCATTTAACTTCCATGTGGTGGTGTGTGGGCAAGTACTGTACTGAGGCTTACTGTTTAATCTCCGAAAAATTCTTTGAAAACAGTTGTTAAAACAGACCTCAGACTCATCTGATACGGCCATTTCAGTGTATGCACCAATATAACAATATTTTAATGAATTAATGTGGTATGCTTTTGTGCAAATTGTATAAAGACTCTCTCCTCTCCCCTTTCTTCTTTCTAGTCATATTGCTGCAGATACAGCCTTGGTTCATACACTAATGTCAGTTTTTTAGCATTAACACCTACATAATTAATAATAAAAAAGTCTGACTTTTAAACTTACAGTGGACTAAAAATAATTGGTTAATTGCAATTACAAATTATATTCACAGACACTATTGGCATTTTTTAATAGCCATTAGATAACAGGTATTCATTTTGTGAAGTTTTCACAGTTGCAAAACCTCTTGTATCTCTGAGGATGGAGCTACAGAGCAAGTCTATCAGTTTGTAGATCTCATTTCAATTTTATGAAAATGTACCAGTGCTGCCATCTTTTGGACATCGTTTAATTAGAAACTAGAACCTGGTTAAGTCACTTTAATGTGAAGATTGTTCATGAGGGATGTGAGGAAAAAGTATTAATCAAAGAATTAATTTAGAAAAAACCCTGCTATAGTCTTTCATTTCATGCTTCTTAAATATGCATTTTTGCTTGCAAGCACTCACTCTTTCATGACTGTGGAAGGATCTAATGTGCTGGATGCAGTGCATGTTCTTTGAAAAATAACTTGTGACCTGAAAAACTTAAAAAACATTGCAGTTACCTTTTTTTTTCTGTGCTATATAAAGAATATTAACAGTACTTGCAGCTATATGCTCTGTTAGTATTTAGTCATGCATTCTTCAGATGGAACTCATTTTGCATAAGGAAACCCACCATTTCCATGAGGGCATTTTAGATGCATTTGTTCTCATAGTATTTGAAGTATTTATTCGGGGGCAGATTATTTTAAAATATATTCATACTCTGGGAGACTGAAAGATGAACAGGTCAGTATGACTTGGAAAAAAAATTAATCTGCTAGACCTGAATGAAAAGAAAAGAATCCTTCCAGGGAAATGCTGAGTGCTCAGTTACATGATTTCCTAAAACTGAAATGGCGAGGCTCTGACCCAGACTTCAACCTCCCTGGGCTCCGGGACAGTGAATTACATGGGGATTTCTCCAACTTGTGTCACTGCACAGAGCAAAGTCTGGTCTAGTCAATGCCTCACAGCTTGGATCTTTTGGATTGTCTGTGACCCACTCAATGTCGGCTGGCATGAAAATACTTTTTTTTTTTTTAATTAATTTCAGTTTGTTGTTTTGTAATCTTGTAAAATAGTGTAACTAAAATAGAAGAGAGTAAAATGTTTCAGTAGTATACATAGTGCTTCTAGACTGCTTTGCAGGGTGCTATAAATAGTGGTATCAGCTTTTTATTCACAGTATTGCAATTTATGGTAGATGATTCATCTGGCATGTATGTATGTAGAGTTTAGGGTGATGCTCTGTATTGATTGATTTTTATGGCTGATCTCATGTTGTATTTCTTATCTGTTCTCCCCCATTGCTCTGGATGGGCTCGGGATTTGGCAATAATCACGCCAGAACGAGGTGACTACATCAAGCATTTATTCAGCTGAAAGCACATAAGCAAAGTATGGATAACTACTCACGAGGGGATACCTGCCAGTGGGATAATATAGGGTCAGTATGACCCAGGAGGCAGGCCGGGGGGTGGACAAACTCCGCCTTCAGTTGCGCAACTCTCCCCTCTGGGTGCTCAGGCGCGCATACCAGTCAAGGGTCTCAGCCCTCAATTCGAGGGTCCTGCCTTCCTCCTCTTCTTCCTCATTTCTGGGTGTTTGGTCTCCAAAGCTAGTTTGGAGGATGTCTGCGGTTAAGCTGGCTACAAGCCCGGCCAAGCAGCCGGCTTCAACAGGTTTCCAGGGGTTGCTGCCTGTGAATCGGGCTGAGCAGCTGCATCTGTGCTCCTTATCACTCAGCCTAGGCAGGCAAACATCTCAAGGTCTGGCCTCTGCTTCTCACTGGAAATTTTTATGACTCTACAGATCACAGAAATTTCCATCTCCAATACACCCGTTAGCCAGTAACACCTGCAACAGACTTCTAGCTGTGCAGCCAGGGAAATCTATTCCAATCCATCCCAATCTCTACTCATGTCATTCCCAACACCCCATTTTCCTTAGCAATACTCTCTCAACCATATGCATTTTAATCCACTGATTATTAGGAAATAGTGATTAGAGATGAGGGGCAGGGATGCTGCTTTCCTAATGCTGCTCGTCCTTTGGAACAGCACAGCCAAAGTGTGCATGGTGCTGCTTGGCCTACCTTGGGACAGGAAAACAGCATGTGTCCCTAGGTGCAAGGCTGGACAGTTAGAACAGAGGTCCCTCATGCCAGTCTAGGTAGTTACTTGGCCCCCACTTGGACAGTTACTTGGCCCCACTTAGCCTCTTGGGAGCTAAGCACCTACTTATGGTCTGGCCAGCTGAAAATGTGGCTCTTTCAGCTGGCTCCTTCACTTGTCACAAGCACACGGCACCATGGTCCCTCACTGCATCTGTGCTCTCGTTCTCTCCTACTCACGTATCGTGCAGGCCGAAGCTAACCTGACTTTCTGGGTGATAACGGTTGCCTTTTCATCTTTCTGGATGCCTTTATATGGTCCGATAGCATTTGTTTGGGTCTTTTCTGAATTTGGATGTTGAAAGATACAAGTCAGCCTTTTTGTTAGTCTATAAAAAAAGCAATAGTTAAAACAATTGCCATATCACCTTTTCCAGCGTCCTTTCTAAGACACGATCTGTAGGATAAATGTTTTTTTATGTGCTACACAATGGATGAATATTGTTTTTATAGCATTTTGGTTGTGATGTAGGAACTCCCACATTTCTTTTCACCACTTAGGATGTAAGTGATGTCTATAGGCTGTACCATGGGCATAGGACAAAGAGGTTGCTGTGGTAACTGACACCAGTGTTCAAACAGGTTACAGAGCTCTTGGAAACAAGCAAAGCACGCTCAAGTGCTCTTCTTATTTACATGCCTGTATTATTTTAATGGATAGAGAGTAAAATATTATTTGGGGAGTAAGATCTCAATAGGACATTGGCAAATTACCTATACAGTTCTATATGCACTGAACAGGAGGCATTCATGCACACTGAAATCTGGATCACAAAGACTTTGCTATGGTGTATTACTTATGCATCTATTCATTACAGCAGGTTTTACAGTCAGTGTGTTTGTCATTGCCCTAGATACTCTTGTAAAAGGGAATTCAGAATGTATTTCAATCATTTAAACTACACTTCCAGTATCAATAGTGAATATAAACACCGTATGGTATGGATTTACACAAAGGCTTGTGCCTGATCAATAATAAAAATATTTGTAACAACGAGCAGGGAAATTGTCAGCCACTGCAGGCACATGTATTGGGCTAAGTAATGCTGATGCTGACAGGCTTGTACAATAAAGGTCCTGTTGCTCACTGTAGCAAGCTGAACATCGGAAGTCACACACACTCACACTCATACATTCACACTCCCCCCCTCTCATGCACATATATATATATGTGTGTGTGTGGTCTGGAATGTCACATGCAAGCCAGAACACCTCTAACTTGGCAAGGATGCATGTATCAAATACCCATTCTACATACTGGATGGGGTAAGATACCAGCTTCATCAATAGGTTTTGCTGCCGATCAGGTCACAACATTTTTTTATGGCATTTTGTGAGTCTCTGCCCCTGGAGAATGTCTCAATTCCCTATAGCCAACAGGGACCAACTGAGAAAAACAGATTTTTGAATTCTGCATACCATTTTTGCATTTTACATGATAAGATTAGAAAAAAAGACATATTCTGTCAATCTAACTAGAAACAAAGAAACACTTGATTTAAATTAAAAAAAGCTTTTATTAACAATGTAAAATGTTTAATATCTTACAATCTGAGCTAAATCTGGCATGCCCTGTAAGAGTTAATAGTAATACACAGACACCATGCTTTAAATTCTATTGGAAACAAAATGAGTTAGTGGTGTGTTGTACAGTGTAGGGTAGCTTTATTTTACTACACCTGCTTTTAATAAAGTACTTCTTCTTCCAAAAGGCTGGAGAGATACCATTGGCTTAAAAGGAAATTTATTATTTCTATGCATTTTACAGTATGTAGATATGTGATTTCTCTGTATTTACAAGATTGTTAGTGGTGTGTTGTAGAGTGTAGGGTAACTTTATCTTACTACACCTGCTTTTAATAAAGTATTTCTTCTTCTTCCAACAGGCTGGAGAGATACCATTGGCTTAAAAGGAAATTTATTATTTCTATGCATTTTACAGTATGTAGATATTTGACTTCTCTGTATTTACAAGATTTAAATATTTTTATATATGGTTTGTGTATCATAAATTCAGATATTTTTCGATGAAGCTTTTAGATTGAGATAGAGTGGAAGACTAAATATGAATGAGACTACAAAAAACAATGGTAGATTTTGTTCAAATTCTGTTACAATATTGTCTAAATATTTTAGAATTTCAATACTTTTGCTCTTAAATAGATTTCTATGCTTAAAGACTGTTAGAATATGATCAAGTATTTTAATGTGATACTAGTAAGAGTACTGTACTATGCACAAACTTTTAGCTGTAGTTCAAACAATAAAAACTTTAAAATGATCTATTAACCATAATTCATGTATCTTTCTCTGAGTCATTTAAGCATGCAAAACATACTTTAAAAGTTTTAGAAACATTCTTACACTAGATTTTTTCCACAACTGGTTCTTGAACACCGTAACTTTAAATTATTAAAACTCTTTACTTTAAAAGGGGGATATTTATTAGGATTCCATGAAAATGCAATAGAAATTTTGACATGAGGAATAAGCAGTTCAATGACAAAACCTTAATGAAATTATACCTCCAGTGCTGGAAGACCCAAGCCAAAATATTCCTGCTTGATGTATAATGTTAGGTAACAATTAAAACTCAAAGCACAATAGTTTTGAGATCTTAATTGCAGGCATGCTAGCTTGACAACCTAAGCTCAAATTTTAGATTACTTTAAAGATGAAAAAGAAAAAAATATTGAGTGTCATTTGTGCACATCAGTGAGAATTTCAATTTAAAACCCCAAAATCAGAACATCTTGTCACATGAAGATTAAAAGTACTTGCTTTGGAAAGTTAGCACAATCTGCTGTCCTTGCTTCTGGCTAACTTTCTATCTTGTATATTAACTCCTTTTCAATACACACAGAACATATAAGTGCCTGTAATTATGTTAATTTGTGTCCTGTCAGCAACTCTCTCAAAAAATCTTTAGAATTAACTTTGAATTTGAGCCATCTTCAGGCAAGGTTTTAGGCTACGAGCTATATACCTCATTATGTTCCTATTCATGATACATCAGGACCTAGTCTTGATTGGAGGCTCTAGACACAATTGTAATACAAACTTCAGTAAGTTTCCTCCTTCCAAATAATTTCCACTCAATCTGCCTGTGCCATAAACTCTTACCTCTATAATGAATTCACCCATTCTGTATTCATCTTTTAATATATTATGATGAATGTTAGACTGTTTAGTTCCTCAGAACAAGATCCAGGACACATTAGACATACTTCATCAGCTGCCAGTGTGCAAAGAGTATGCAGCACTTAAGAAATACACATTATCACGAAATAAAAAAAAAAAAAAAGGGAAAATTATTAGCTTTCTAATGTTATTCACATGAAGAAAGAAAGTGCCTGTTGATGTGGAATATATGAGACTGCAGGGACACAAAATGAAGGCCCACTCCTAAATAAATTCTTTAGGATGACAGCCCCCTATGCATTTGTATAGGATACTTCATAGCTGGCTATTGGGAAAAGTGAGCTGTTAGCAGCCTTCAGGCAGGTACCCACATAGGGTCAGTGCCTTGTTATCCTACAGCTGTTGCAGGGGCAAAGTAAATTCCATCACTCAGCGTGTGTCCTCTCACAGTCTGTGCAATTTGTACCTTCATCACATCTGAAAAAACATGTGGCTTGAGATAGGGGATAAGTTGTGCTGCTGCCTTATCTCCCCAGGACAAGTCTACTATTTTATCTGTAGATACCATATACATAAATGTCCCCAGTCCAGTGTTTGAACTATAGTGTTCTCAAGTGAAACTCAAGAGGACAAAGTTCACGTATTAATTTACCTCACATGAAGAAAATACAAAACCTACCTTGATTTTTCAGTGGTAAAGGCATAGTTTCCCTGAGTTTGCTTAAAAGGTTTTTCATTTCTCTCATATCTCTGCAGAAACAAATTCAAAAGAAATACAATAGAACAGCAGTTAAAGACTCACAGTAGGAATGGTTCACAGTATCGTTTTATATGCTGAACTAATGGAATAAAAACCAAAATAAATAATATAAAATCTACTGGGCAAGCATTTGGTTCAAATGTATCAGGAGATGCATACCAAAAGAAAGGACAGAAAATATATTAAGAATTTTAAGCCAGTCTGATTGTAACTGGTAGCTTTCTGTTCCAAATCTGTTATTTTTTCTGGATCTTGAGTATTCCATGTTAAATGAGTTGGTGGGCACAATGTGATCTTAGTGGCAGAATATTCAACATGGTTACAACTAGCACTGATGAGTACTATTGCTAATATTATATCTCATTATTGGCATTTTGTAGCTTGTACCAGGAACGTGGACAGTGTTCTAAAAAGTAAGAAATGATAATATATGCAGTTAATCCATGCCACTTTAGCTCCCTAGGGATTAAGAGAATATTTTAGATAACAGGGCTGTAATTCTGTCCCCTCTTAGGACTTTTGCATGGAATTTGCTAAAATTTTAAAAGGCAAAAGATGGAAAATACAGTAACAACACTGTGTAACCTCACAGTGCAAGTATCCACATATCCACATATGGATATATTTTGAAAGAGAACAGAGGCTGTGAAAAGATTCCTGATTTAAAGATTATAAAGAAGTAAACATATGTTGGCCATCCGGATGGCTCCCTAGCAAAGGGTCTTAGTTTTGTCTTTTACCTGGACAGTCAAGAGAATGAAAGTCAACTTGGATATACCTTTGGATGACTTTTCCCCTCTGCTCCTGAGCCTTCCACATGTGTAACTATGGACAGAAGCAACTGATATGAATCAGCTTCTGTGCCTTTGGTTTATGAAGGCAAAACTGCAGGCAACATATTCAGGTGTAAAACCAGAAATCTGGTAAGATGAGACAAAAACACTCTCTGTTTTAGCACCAGAGCTTTCTGCGCTTTGTTTTTGGCAGTAGTTCCCTCTGGTAATTAACCAAAGTAAGAATGTCACTTCTCTTTGCCCTTCTCATTGGCACTGCTTTCAGTTATGTTAAATGCAACACAAATGCTAAGCAGGCTGTAGTAATTTACCAACACTTGCAGTAACAACGCTGGCTGCCTAACTGGGAAAGACTAAATAAACTTTGGACAGGAATGCATTTTATTTAGGACTAAAGTGTTACAGATACCTGTCAGTGTTCTCAATATCTGTGGAAACCTGCCATAAATTCTGTTGGATATCTGTTGGAGATGACGACATGTCTTCTAGAATAGGTACTTCGGAACTCTCCTCCACTTTAGTGTCTAGGATCTTGGGTGGCGCACAGGGCTCTTTTCCTTTAAAATATTAAAACAAAGCACATATCCCTATTATTTATTAATGAAAAGCTATACTCAGATTATATCATTGATGTTTTGGGCTAGATCTTGCATAGCATAAATGAAGAGAACAAGCAGTGAATGCAAACTCCAAATAAGAACTGTTCAGCAAGAGAGTGGACCAGACCAGCCTGCTCATCAGAGTGCTGCTGTACGGTCCATGTTACTTCCAACAGGACGAAGAGGAAGTCTGCACAGGCATGTACAGAGCTGAGCATTTTCTTCAGTAAACACAAGAGAGTTCAGTGTTGCTGAGAGCAGTTTGTATCCTTGCAAGCTTCCTGGGGCCAGATGGTGGTTGTTCTTTGCAGTGGCAAGCACAGCCCATGCTATACTACTTTCCCAAATCACAAATTAGTAGCCAATCTATCAGACTATTAACTTTCTCTTGTTTTACTTTAAACTAGAAATTCCTGGAGCTGAAAAAACTGTTTCAGCAGGTTCTTTGAACTGTTAAAATTTTGATAAAGTATTTCTTTGTTAAATATATCAGATACTCATTGTCTGGATGTCCAAGTAGACCTTAGAAGAAATCTTTGCCTAATGTTTTCATTATCAATTAAAGTCAGTGCAATATATATCCTCCTCAAAAGTCATCTAACTGTATGATTCCCAAGAAATGACCTGACATAACAGCTTATCATCTAAAAATGTTGTTATTTATCCTTTTTCTACTGCTTATTTTGGCACCTACTACTAACTTTGCCTTTGCCAGATACCTCTCTGAGTCAGGTGAATCCATCAAGTGCTAGAAGATTACCTCTGCTAAAAGAAAAATAAAAGGTGAAATGTTTTCTGTTGTTTCCATGAGTTAAATTGGGTCAGTAAAGAACCAAGCATGCTCCAGAACAAGTGGCAGAGGATGGGGGTGATGATATGGTCAGAAGCAGCGGAAGGGAGGAAGAAGTGAAGGCAAGATGAGAGCAAAGTAACAAAGAGATCTAGACCTTTTTTGGTAGGAACAATCATCTCATATGTTGACTCATTTGCTTGTGCAGCAGCAGCCTAAGCCTGCTTCCCACATTGTATTTTTTATTGTGCATCTATCACCTTTTAACTAACTTTCAAATTATTTTTGGTGGCAACTGCAGCTTATGCTGTTATTTTAAGCTAGAACTTAATATACAGTTTTAACTGCTTGTGTAAGCTTCATTATTCATTATTTCTTCCAGTACAAGAAGCCTATAACACAATGTACTGTTACCAGTATCTCATTTACACTTTTTTTGTGAAAGAGGGTTGTGCTGGGCGAACTATCTCATTTGTCACTGTTGTCACAGAACACAAGGTGCTGTTGCTAGCTCTGGGTGTTAGTTAATTCTGACATTATTTTCAAGTGTTATGTTGATGCTGACTTGACCTTTGGTGATACACCATCAAGAAAAACAGTCTATACACACATCCTTCAGTGCATCTGTAGATGCGAAGGGTGTTTCAGTAGAAACAATAATGATTCTTTTCCCGAGCTCAAGAACAGAAGCAGAGAAAGTGCATTATGCTTTTTGCTAGCACAAAGGCAGCTCCTGCGGGTTTAGCAGAATGAGCAGCACAGATTTCCTTTCAACCGAAAGAGCTCTTTACCAGTAATTTTGTTGTATTGTGAACAGTTCATGAAGCCTTCCTTGAATTTCAGAGCATCTGCTCAATCACTTGAAAACAGTTAAGATTCAGCTAATAATAAAGGCTTTGCTTGAATAATGTCTATGACTCAGGCTTAACATTTCCTACTATATGGTACACACTGTATGGAAATAAAAGCTCTTTAATCTTCTCATCCTAGTTGGGGGGCAGGATACTTTTTGTACAAACACATTTGCTTAATATAGAGATGCAAACCATAAATTTTACTTTCAATTTAGTCAGTGGAGAGACTTTCACCAATTTCAGCAGAAGTCTGGTCATGCACTCTGCTTGCAGACGTGTCCACAAGCAGTTGTTGTTCTTGCCAGTTGGCCAGGCAGTGACTCTTTTTACTGCTGGTAAAATTTTAATACAACATACACTTGATGTACAATGTGTCTTCTAGTCTCTAATTCATTGTGTCCTTTTATTTAAAGAAGAGGAGATTTGCTCTCAGAGTGAAAGGTTCTTGAATTAAATAATGCTGAAGATCAAGAAGAACAAGAAGAGCTGCCATTTTCCATATTGCTAATAGCAACTTGCTACAGCCACCCTGATATGACAAAAGGGACAGTAATGCTATTAAAGCTATAAGTTAGGGACTGCAGGAGGGCACAGGAGAGTTCCTCACACTTAACATGCTCCAATGCTGCCCTGAAAACTTTACTCTATATCTTTCCCTGACCCAGAGTTTTCATGTGAATCTAGCCAAGTTATCTAAACACAGTAGCTCCTCATAACTATTACTGGCAACATGCTTCTCATTCTCTGGTTGCACAATTTGAAGACTCTGCATTCACAGCTGCAACTGAAACTATTGAGAGATTTCTCTAAGTATGTCACAATCTTAGATCCTAAATTACCACTCTTTAACTTAACCTCCTTGTTCCTTTTTTTGCAACGGGAAAAAAATGTTACTATCTCACTATCCAGGGCAGTTCTGAAGAAACTCATCAGTGAATGAATTACCGAGAAAAGTCTGAGGAGCAGAAGGATTCTGTGTTTGGAACAGAATTATGTGAAATAAACACAACATAAAACACTGAACAATTAAAATACAACACAAACGACTGCCCAAGTATTAGTATGTTTCTCAATATGACAGGACTCTTGGGACGGTGGAGAGTGAGGAAGTATATGATCAGGTAACGAGCAACTTAGTATACACAAAAAGGTTGAATGAATGCCTCTTAGACACATTCATTCTGTCCTTCCCAAATTTTCCAAATGTTTAATTTTGCCATCAGAATGCATTTTCAACAATGAGGTTTTGCGCTTATGTATCTTAGAAATAAATTTTGTTAGGGAGCACTTATCTCAGTTTACTTACTCCATAGCACAGCTGGAAGTATTTAAGGTTGTTGGCCCTACTGTGGCTGTTACATCTCACAGAAATAATGGACTGTCTTATTTTTATAACAAAGGCTATATGACAGTAGTACGCAATCTGAAGAACCATAAATATGCAAGAAATTTTGGTACGCAAAGCGTGATTCACTTAAGTGTAGGAATGTTTGTTCGGCAGCATAGAAAGATAAGGGGAGCTCAGATCAGTGCTGAAAAAGCCAGTGAAAGTAGCAGAGCTCAGTCCTTCAAATAGTAGGGTGGGGATCCATAAAACAGCATCTGTTGCCAGTAGGGAGTGTTGGCTGAATTCCTCTTGGGAAAAAAGCATCAGTGCCAGCTCACTGCCTTAGATTTATCAATTCTGTAGTTTGTTGGATAATGTCTAGTCAAAATACTAGAACCCACATTATTATTTATTAGCTGCATATTGGTGAGAATAGCTTGCATGAATCTCTGCTGGCTCCAAAAGAGAGGACATAATTTGGTAAAATCGCCAGAGAGATATAAAAGGCCCAACAAACTACTTATCCAACAGGTAACAGAGCTAGAAAATGGAAAATATTCCATCCAAATGGAAAACATTACCTTCAAAAATGACCTGCAAGATGCATCAAGAAATCATATGTAGGGAATAAAAACAGACACATGCATTTATAAATTTATCAAAGTTAATACATATTGGAAGTATCCACAATTAATTATTGTAGACAAGGAAAATGAATGGTTTTCAGTGTCACCCAGATGTTGGTGAAAAAATGAAAAAGTAACAGCACAACATACTTCATAATGGTCAAATTACTGGCTCTTTCATTCCTAGAGATAAACACATGCACTTCTGCCTCTAGTGCAATACTTCTCTCCTTAAATAAAGAATTTTAAGAAGAATGATGCTCGCTCTGCTCCTTGTAAAATAGCCTGTTTTTTGCCAGATTGAAAAGTACAGAATAATGGTTTAGAAGAAGGCATTTAAGTTTAGAAGAGGCCTTGGGAAGTCCTCTGGCTTAGTCCTCCCCTGAAAGCAGAGCCAGTGTAGATCAAGTTGTTCATATGAGTTGTGAATGTCTCCAGGATGGAGATTTCACAGCCTCTTGGGTATCTGTTCTGATGTTAAACTTCAGTGTTAAAAATATTTTTTACTATCTAAATGTTATTTCTCTTTATAGTGCCCCAAGGCCTTGTAAATACTATTAAATATTTTAAGTACTTAACATATAAGTGCAACATCTAATTGGCTAAATCAAATTCTGTTTATTCAAATCCCTATGATAATATAATTTTTGTCTGCTACAAACTTTTCTGAAAGAAAGTCACTTTCCGAAATGAAACCTGGAGGCAGGTTACTGTGGTTATCTCTACATGCCTACAGGAAAAGAAGCTACTCCATTTAGCACAGGCACCCCATGAGCTACCATGAGTTTTTTTATGCTGAAATTACAAGCTACTGTATATCAAATCACTGCAAGACAGGAACTAAGTTGGTTCATATTGTAATGCTATAGCTCATCTTTTTAAATTCTTGTTATCTAATAGTTAGAAGCTTAGTTATATTAATCATATATATTCCATCCACAGGCAGATGGGGCAGATTGCACCCACAGGCACATCTCCGTTATCCAGCCACCTCAGACTACTCTCTCTGCAGTTACACAAGATGCCTTGACAAATGCTGCCAATGCTAGAAAATAGAGTACAATCTGTCTTAAAAAAAACCTCCAAAACTAATTTTGGTAGTTTCTTCTAACTTGAAATATGATCACTATGTTAATTTAGATTTTTTTCTCTTGATATTCTATAGTTTTCCTTTTGATTTGAGAAAATAACTTAGAAGCTCAATGTAGCTATTACAAATCTCAAATTCTTATTTCCATAATAAAAAGGATCATGGGCTTTAGTTACAGGGGCTAGATGTGAAAAATGCATTTGAGGATGTCTCAGTGTGAGAGGAACATGCCGAAGAAATACTGCTCTTTCTTTACAAAACAAGATTTTTTCTTGTCTTTACGTAGGACATTCTGCTGAGACGGTATCTGGATGGCCCAGTTGAAGACTGTGGCATCACTGAGTAATGAGGCAGCTGAGCAACTTGCTCAGTAAATTATCTGCATTTTGACATCTGCAGATGTGTAATGAAACATGAAACAAATAGAGATGTCATTTTCACTGAAAGAAGGACATCTCATGTTTGTATAAATATACCTTGTAGGATACATTTTGGTGCTGAATCCAGTTTCTAGTTTTATTAAGTTAGACAGCTTTCTAACCCTGAGGTGCTCTTAGTATGTTGCTATTGGTGGACAAATAACAACAGGAATAATAAGTTTATTACTAAAGCACTGCCATTTTGCTCAACTAAACACAGGCCTTCAAATATCTTAACCAACAGATACCTCGGTATGGCATCCATAAAGCAATCCATTTCTGTTGACTTAACCATTTCTTTCCTAGACAGAAACACTTCATACCAATACAGCTATCAGTGCGATCAAAATTGCTCTGCTTACTTCGAAGAATTCCTCAACTTGTACAGTGTCTCCTCTTGTTCATCAGTAGCCACCCAATCAAAAAAGCAAAGCAAAGTGTGGAGGACAATGAAGAATGAGAATTTCTCTACAGATCTCTGGAAGATACAGCTGGAAAGGCAGTGTGATTAAATCAGCTAAAATACTGGAATCACAGTGCTGGAAAAGGAGTACCAGAGTCTGCTCTAACAGAGATCACCTTCCACAACTCTTACGAAGCCCATCTGGGAAACGATGCTTCCCAATCTTCCCAATTACTTGGAATTACATGCTCAGGAATATGAAAAGTGAGGTGAACATTGTTACTACTTCATGTATTCTCACACTTCCTTTGTCAGAGTAGGAGGATTGAATGCTGGGTCTCTAATACAGGTCCGTCCTTTCTCAGAGGGTTGGAGAACTTTTACTGCTCCTGAAGTTTGGTAATGTAGCTGGCAAGTGCAGTGACTTGATCACAGGGTCCATAGAAAGTCTCACTCAGCATATGCAAGTAATTTATGCAGGTGTATAACCTGCTTCTTTCTGACCAGATTTTTCTGGAGAAAATAAAATTCATCTGTCTGGTCAAACCGGCAAGCTACAACTCTTAAACCCTTGGTCCTGCCAAGCCCTAATTCTACTCATAAGGCCCAGTGACAACGGTATTCTCAAAAGGCTGTTACAAAACATTTCTCATGGGGATAACAGGCTTTCTCAAACTTAACCTTTAGGGACAAAATGGTTTCTGTGATAACCTGAACAGAGCAGACTCTTCTGAAGGGAAGAAAAAGAAAACTTTAGTTTGAGTAATAGATATTTAACAGTGGCATAATAAACATGACAAAGGCTTTTAAAGGGATTTTAAGTTGTTGGGCAGCCTCTGTTGCTGCTCATGCTCTTTCTGCCTTCTAGTTTAAACACTGTCCTGCACATGTCCTCTGACTACTGACCCTGACCCAAGTTACTATCTTAATAGAAAGATTCTCCTATGAGGAAAAACATGCAAACAGGGCACTCTGAGTGCAGCTCCTGTAAATCTCATCTAACAAAATAAGCACATTACTGTGTAACCCTGAACTTAAGTATAACATTGCTATCTGCATGAACTGCAATTTTTCAAAATGTTTCATTTTTCAGTAGTTATTCTAATCAAAAGCCTAACACAGCTTGCTCACTGGAATCTGAATAATGTCAACCTTTGGCTTGGGGCCACTTTTTTTTTTTTTGTTAAATTCCAGATTTCTGAACTACACTAGTACATTAGTGATACATGCCTGATAGAGACATGCTTATGTGAGAACAAGACTCAGCACCACTGATCACCACCCTAATAGAGACATGCTTATGTGAGGATGATGATAATGCAATAGAAATAGAGATTTTGCAGAAGCTGAAAAGCTACAGTTGTATAGGTGATTTTACAGTTTGGTACTCTACGTTTAATGAGTATCTAAGCATGCCACAAACCTGTTTTTTGTTTAAACCAGCATCTGTACATAGGTCTTTATGATAATGCAATAGAAATAGAGATTTTACAGAAGATGAAAAAACTACAGTTGTATAGGTGATTTTAACAGTTTTGCACTCTGCATTTAATGAGTACCTAAGCATGCCACAAACCTCTATTTTTTGGTTAAATCAGCATCTGTACATAGGTCTTAAAATTCAATACCTTTCCGATGAAACTGAAGGGATCCTAGCAGACATATGGACTTGAGCATTTCTGTTGTGTACATTTCTAAGCAACACTGCAACTGGATGTATAATCTACAGATTTCAGGATGAATTTCACCATCTTCTGGGCTGCAATAAAAAGAAAAAAAAATAGGAATGGGATGAGAAGAACATGAGGCTCATAAAATCTGATTTCCTACTCTTGCAAGCAGCCACATTATAATTGCTTTATAAGCCATTAAGCTATGCATATATGATAAACAAGCTGTTTCTACCAAACTGGATTTAAAAATATCTTTTAAGTCTCCAAGAACTCAAAATACTTAGGTTCTCTTTGGTAAGACTGTATGGTAAGGCTTTTGTAAAACTTATTTTCTCTTTTACATATATTTGCAAATGGAGTAAATTAACAGCCGGAAAAATCTGAGCTTTCTTATCCTCTTTATCAGCTTTGGAGAAATATTTTCTGGTTGATAGAAGAATTCTTGTGTCATTCAGTTTCAGATACCCTTGGCCCTGGTGCAGCCACAGAGTGAGGAGATTGCAGGGTCCCTTCTACTGTCTCTTTTCAGGCTAAAAATACTGGATGAGACTTCATCAACCCCAATTGAGTTTTTTGTTCTTGCAGGTTTCTGTCTGAATTTCTTTTCTTTCCCCTGTTTAAAATACTGTTCATGTGATTAGCTAATGCATCATTATGAGAGTGGAGGGAGGGTTACAGAAATTTTCAGAAGAGCTATCTTTCAAGAGTGTCTCAGAAGTAAGAATTTTTAAAACAAAAATTGAAATCAAGAATAAACCTAGATCTCCAATTAACTGCATTGAACACCAGAATAAATCATTTATCCAGATTCAGGATCCAACTACTCTCATGTTTGGTTGCAAAACTGATCAATAAATCTCCCTTTCCTAGTTCAGACTGGTGTGTGCATAAATATTTTATAAACTTAACTGTTTCCTTCGAGTGCTCAAAGAGGGAATTTATCCAGCAATACCTGAAAAGTAGGTTTTTAATTCCCTTCCCAAAAGCTCTTTCAGGAGGGCAGTAAGTGGCAAGGCTGAAGAATTAGGATTTCAGCTACTTCCTATTCTTCCTACATTCTTGCTATTGGCTTGCAAGCACAACCCCCAAAATTGGAAAACACAAAAAAACAAACAAACAGAGACTCCTTCTTTACTAAATAAACTGAACCTAATTTCTAAATACTACCAATATGAATCTAAAAAATTTTCTCAGCAAGCTTTCAGATTTCTAGCATATGAATAAAATAAATGAAGCTTTCATAGTAAGAAGTTTGCTAGTATTCTTTACAGGGATTGAACTTCCTATGGTTAAGCTGACACTTCTAATATATATTCTAATATATATTCATATACTTCACTTGTGGATTTGCTCAAGGGAACCAAAGCAATTTATCTGAAAAATTATTTGAAGCAACACTAACTTGAGCTATTATGCTCAAATCATTTCTTAATATCAGTCTTGGCCACAGACTTCTGAGACCTACAGCAGACAACATTTATTTAAGCCAGTAGAATAGATTCTGTCTGATACCAGGGCAAGAGGCCATTACTTATACTCAGTCAAACCCTGGGTCCAGTCAAAATGTTAGGTCTGGCTCTTTCCTCATGAACAAAACTGAAAAACTGTATTTTAAGAAAAAATCCTACCAACTTGTGCTGATACAGTTTTACTAAAGTTCAGTTCAAACAAATACTGTGTATTAAAAGCTGTTAATTTCTGTATTTGAGAGTCAGTATTCTTTCAAACAAATTAGAGGTGATATGTTGCCTCAAAAGCAAGTATCCTGCCACTGGTATCAGGGACACCAGGGAAGATTAAGCCCAGCCGCACTCTGGGGGTGTGAAAGCAGACAGGGCCAGAAGACAGACCTTGGTTTATTCTGGGGCTCGTGGCAGTCTCAAAGGAATATTTGATGCAAGGACCTGTCATATATTACCTCCAATTAGGGAGAAATCGAGAGGGAGAAACTGTTTAAGAACCATAGTAGTGGTAAATTGTGCAATCACAAATGCTTAAACAAGCAAAAATTGCAGGAAAAAAAAGAAAAAAAAGGTGAAGGGTGGGTGGGAGTGAGGACTGGGAGGAAATCATGCTGGACTTACTAACAAGGGGCAAAGGAAGTTTAATCCACTAAGCAGAACTCATCAGAAAGGGAGGAAATAACTGCAGTACAAATTGCATTTACTGTGGTCTGTGTTACTTCAGAACCAGTACGATATGCATGATAATAAATTTGCCAATTGTAAGAGCTCTATTTCCCTTGATTAGACCAAAAACACATGTATTTCTTTGAAGTCACGCCTAGTTTCTACTCTTAACATGAAGTCTGCATTTGTTCAGAAATCATGCCATACATGATATATTATTTCACGTAACTTAGCATAGAAGCATACAGTGTTGAAGAACTGAAAAGGGGTTTTATTCTCAGTATCTCAAAGATATCTTTTCAGATGCTTGCTATAATATTTCTTCCTGTTCTCAATGACACTGGAGCACTTCAAGTCCCTGCATATTTTTCCTGAAAAATTAGCTACCTGAGAGAAATTTGCTTATTCTGGGTCAAGTCCTTCAGTTCATATGAAAATACGCATTTGCTGGAGATGGATCCGTGTTCAAATATCGCATTCTTTTCAAAAGATATGAACATAAATATTTTCAGTGACTGCACTAGCAGTAGTACAACAGAATAATGAATCCTAGTTAGGGCTGAAGATTATGCTTAGAAGAAGAAACACAGCAATACAGAAACTCATACAAAAATGACTATGGAATAAACCATATTTGAATTTTTAAAAAACATACCTAACTGTAGAGTCCTCAGACACTTAGAAGTTCTACTATGCATATTAAAGTTTTTAATATTACTTTTTATCTTGAATTCTTCCAAAGTATCTAGTACCAGTTTAGCAAGAGTTAAATCTTAACAGTCTCTACTATAAGATGTTTGCTATTTCTTTCATTTTTAAGCAATCTATACATGATATGAATAGCATAGATCTGTGATCACTTAGCTGATTAGAAATGGACTGTTTTCTGCATAAACAATAACTATAAATTTAGCAGGTTTTTTTTTGTAAATTCACAGATGGCAAGAGGGTTTTTAATGCAATTCCATTGGTATTAACCAAAGAAGATAAAAAAAATTATAGCTGAGATTTCAATTTAATTTGCCCTTGTATAAATCAGGAACAGCTCTTCAGAAGTAGACTGGTGTTTTCTAATCATACCAGTATTCAAGACCAGGCTCTATTCCTTCATTTTGCATATACCACTCCTAATGCTTTCAAACTTTTCTGTAAATGCTTGCTACCAAATTGGATAAATGTCAAGAGCAGAATAGGTTTCTGGTTAATTTGCTGCAAGAAGCAGTCTCATGAGTAAATGCAACCTTACAGAGTCCATTTAACCAAATCTATTACAAAGAACTAGCCTAATACAGCAGAAACATAGCACACCACATTTTCTTATTCTGCAATAGTATTTCAAAATTCTGAATTTTGGGTCTGATATACTTGTTTTTATTTCTCTGATAACTGCATTTAAGACTCACAATATATATTTAGATAATACATGACCTCCGGAAATCTTTTACTATCCTCATTTATCCTAACTTTTAGCTTAGAAATGAGTTTTCTTATACCCCTTAGTGTCATCAATAGCCTTCCATGTACCTTGAGCAGCATTCCCCAATTCACCACAACGGAGTTGCCTCAATAAATGGGGATGGAACTATGCCTCTTCCTGCTGCAACTCTCGCTTCCTCCTGAACACTTGGGCAGTAATCAATTGCTATCCAAACCAATTAAAGGATTACAAAAAGACTTAGGAGCGTCGAGGTCTGCTTGCCATGTTTTTCCCCCCCCAACTCCAAAATTTAGCTCTTCAAACTCATTGCTCATCTAATACCGAAACCCTCCAGCCTCTGAGTGTGCACTTAAGCACACTCAGTTCCTGCTTGTAGCTTCCAGGATGCCTACGGCTTGCTTCTAGGCAGGGCTTCTCAGTCCTGCGGACGAGCAGTTACACACCAAGTAGTGGCTCACCAAGCTAATCACCTGTTTCTCCTGCAGGGCGTCACCAGCTAAACGTGCGCAGTGCAAAGCAGAATCACACAAAAATGTCACCACAGAGGCAGCAATGGCCTTTTTCTGTTTGGTTGCTGAGTCATCTGCTCTGCTGCTCAGATGAGAGCACTTTCTATCAGAGATAGAGAGGCTGATCTACTTCATAATCTTATACCAGGAAAGTTGCATCTGCCTCTTCTAAAGGGTACCATTCTGTAACCACAAGGACATCACTGACAGCAGCACTGAAGCTTCACTGTGAGAAGGTATGCTCTAAGGAAATTATCTAGATAAAACTGGATTGTTTTTATCCTGTTTCTTCTCTACATTGTTTCAAATGTTATAAATCCTTATATTTTTAGGAGTTGTGGTTTAAAGGAACTATATTTAAAATATTCGCTTTCTTTCTTTCTTTTTTTCTAGTCATTACTGGAAAAAAAAATTGAGGGTCTTTAAACAGGGCTAAGAAAAATCATACAGCTATTTCACAAGGAAGGATAAGTGGTGAGATGGGGTACATGTGCTCTAGCAAAATAATAATGTTTTTCTGCATGCAGAGTCAACTTTGTGGATCCTTACAGGATTTATTCCAGTCTGAATTTCATTAGAAAATTACAAGCTTCGGTTTTCAAATGGAACTAAGGGAATGGGTTCCATCAGACAAAGGTTTTATGGTTTTGTTTCTAATAACAAATGTGCTGTATAAAAGAAAGCCAGATGGTGAGCTAAGTACTAACAATCACATTTCTCACCATGAGGTCTGTAGGATTACTTATTTGACCTAGAAACACTTGTCGATGTCTAAGGAAAACGGGCAGATCGCTCACTTCGATTTCCCTCTTTTTCTCTGTCTGCAAAACTATGCTTAAAGCTATATAGTGAATATTTTCAAATATATTGTTACTCCCTCACTAGGAAATTCCATAGTTACCACATGAATGAATACTGTACTGTCAAGGGTCACTCTCGCACCAAGT